TCATAAGCTTAAACAGATGTTTCTTATCAATTTCAAGATATAGAAATCGTTCTCTCACAAAGAGCCATAAAAAGTCAGGATGCCAGATAAAAGATTATTTTCTGAAGTTAATGGGCAGTAATTCGTAGATGAAGTACACATTAAGATAGTCCCAAAAATTCCCCAGCGTCAGAGTGGCGCCATCCTTTTAGCGAATCAAAATCTCCAAATTTAAATGACGTTTCATTAAGATAAGGATACTCTTGCAACCAACTCCCTTTTCAGAACCCCCGTTTAAATATCAGGAACAGCAAAAATTCGTGGCTTTTTCATATTTTCATGGCTAGATAAATCTGTTCCAAACCCCAACATCCCTTCTATAGAAATCCCACCTATGTAATCCATGCAAACATCCAACGAACACTGTTTTAAATAACTTAGCATCAACTAATAAAATGCCTATTTGTTGAATCAGCCTAAGTCTCTTCAATTCTCTATATAAGCTGATTTCAGTGTATCTTCTCCAAACATTTCGATCTGCTGCCAATATGTGATATATTATGGCTGCCATATAATATCGAAAGAAAAGAATTGTGATCTAAATTTGGGCCAAATTAAAAGCGTTAAAGTAATTTATTTTATCTTTTAATAGGTACTTTTGAGAAATGGTATTCTTTTACATGTCATTGGTGTCTCAGCTATATGTACTGTTGGGAAGTTTTCTTGGCGGTATTGCGCCATTTTATATCCTCACAACATTTATGAAAAATGACCGTGATGAATGCAGAAAAAACAAGACATTGGCGTTATTGATCTACTTTGGAGGAGGAATTTTTATGTCAACATGTTTCCTTATTTTACAACCGACAGCTAACAGGGAATATGAAAAGCATGACCATCATCATTGCAGCAATCGTAAGTAACCTGCTGATCAAGAGGTCACAAAATTTATGTTACTTTAATATTTAATCTACATATGTGGTGCCATGCGACTCAAAGAAATCAAATCAACAGTGTGATTTAAGAATTTTAATGGGACGAAGGACATAAAATGTCATAAAACAACACAAATTAAAGCATTAATACAATCAGGGAGAAAACAAAACTTCAGTGGGGGGAAATTCGAAACCTACATGTTTTCATTTCGAGAGATGGAGTTAAACTAACTTAGAACTGCTCTATTTGAGTCTATTTAGCGTTCATAGATAGTGTTGTCACACAAACCTTTAGAAGAAGATTACCATTTTCTAGAAAACATTTTAATAACGAACAAACTTTTTCAGTTAATAAAAGTTTACTTATTAAAAATAGGTCTAGACCAGTGGTTACCAACTGGCGTCCCGCGGTATCGCATCCGGTCCGCGAAGCCTTTTTTTGTGGCCCGCGAACTAAAATATATTAGTTGTCATTTTTTGCGGACAATTTTCGTAACAAACCTATATGGGTTTAAAATACCTTTTTTTCGTTTAAAAAAAAAACTAATTTCTTCGTTTCTGTGAAATTTAACATACCAACGGTGTAAAGACATTTATTTCTCAGGTTTTGCACCCAAGAAAATATTTATTCAAATACGAAATTAATCCTGTGTGTTGCTTAAAAATCTACTTGCTTTAATTTGTAATTCAATACGTTTGTTTTGCACAACTTCATAAAAATCTGACAGTAATATTTAATGTTCCTTCAAACATAAAAGAGTTCTACATAAAATTTTGATAAAGTGGCGGCCCGCNTTTTTTTTTTAAACTTCTTCACAGTTAATGTAATTTTTTTAATAATTAATATATTAGAAATAATTGTCAATAATATTTGAATCTAAAATACTACACAAAAAATGTTTTGCAGCAACATAAGAAAAGTGTAAATGTATTCTTCAGATTTCTGAAAATTGATTGGGGATTAGAAATATTATGTAATGAATAGTTACTGTTAGTTAATGATAGTAACTGTTTTTGTTTTTCTTATATATCTTGGTAAACACACTGGTAAAAATTGCGAACTTTTATCTTGGTAGCAACGTATTATTTAGCATTATTTTCAATTAATATAATTACCCCGATAGTAAAAAAATAACAAAATGAATCATTTTAAGGTTTCCCTTTATCAGATAGGAAAAACATAGTCAAATTTTTAGATTTCTAACTTGGTAAAATGTGTTACTTGGCATTATTGTCAATCAGACTGGCTACCCCAATAATTGAAGGTATCAAAGTTAAATGTTTTTTTTTTTTAAATTAGTATTATTAGTTTATTCATTTATCTCATACAGAAAACATGGTCTAAATTTATAACTTTCATATCGGTTAAGCGTTCTATATAGCATTAGTGTAAATTAGGATAAATTCTCTCTGCTTAAAGTGATAACTAAAATTGTAGAAAAGATAATTTCAGTTTTTCATTTTATCTGATAAAAAAACTCATGCTCCAAATTTCAGATATTTTAAAACAAGCTGCTTAGCAATACTGTCAAACTACCTTTAACCCAACCCTTCATTTTTCTGATAATTACAAATATCAAAATGAGCTATTTTAGTTTTATAGAGAAAAACAAAGAGAAAATATGGAAAAAGTAGAAAAATAAGTATAAAAAGTAGAAAAATTATTAAAATAAAATATTTTTTAAAAATATTTAAAAAAAATATAAATGTTAATTTATATATATATATATAAGGGCGAGTACATAAAACCAATAAAATAAGATAAAAAATACAAAGAAAACAAGGACAGAGATTAAAATCACGGACACTTTGCGACAGTGGCTCACTGACAATTACTTTTGTATTGTAATTTCAGAAATCTTTAAAATCCTCATGAATATATTTTGTTCCTTTTTTTAGAGCAAAAATTAGACACCAATGCTAATTCTGAAGATGAAGGTCATCACCATGAAGGTTTTCCCATATCCGACTTTATCATTTTATGTGGTTTCATAGCACTATTTATAATTGAAGAGCTTTTTCAATTCGCTTCATACAAATGTCAAAAGAGAGCTATAGAAAGATCTCGAAAAATTCCCTTCTGCAGTTGTGCGAAACGCCATACTGAATGTAGCAGAACATTCAAAGCAGCTAATCCAGCAGAACAGACACTTTTCGGATTAGAGAAACAAACCACTGAATTAGAGAAGGAGTCTCCCTATCATACCTGCTTGTCTCCCAATAGGTAATACTGCCTTTTACTCAATTGATCTAAACGATTTTTATCAATATTCCCATAATGCAATCGGGAAAGTTTTAAAAAGCACAATTGATTTTATTATGTACTTTATTAGGCCTACCCAATTAGCACAATTCACGAACACGATATCGTAAAAACTTAGTTTTGAACATTGAACAATATCGTAGCGAAACATTGTACTATATAAAAATGAACCCCTTTTATAACGTATATCCAATATCGCGAAACAATATTGTTCGATATTGTAAAAACGTTGGGGAACGTCGATCGATATCTCTCGGCATTTCGGATATCTCTAAATTTATATTTTGGAATTATAACAATTTGACGTCATTTTTTGTCTTTTAAATGATTAATTTTGATTTAAGAACACAATAAAGTTTAAAATGAAAAGTTTTACAAACAGACTTTTAATGTGCAATCGACGGGAATCGTACAATATCGTACACACAATGTCGATTTTCGCCAATATTGACAATGTCGGTCGATGTAGACTAAAGCTGTTACAATATCCCTGTGCTACTTGGGTAGGGGGTTAGCGTGACTCCCCTCCAATCAACTATTTTTCTTCAAGTTTTCTATTTTTGCATCTTAACAGTATTGTGAATTAAAGGCATTAAAATGATCAAAGTTTAAACTTTTTATATTATAAGTTTACCCCTATAACTTTGATCCAAAAAATATTTTTTTTTCATGAAGTTTTACTGAATTAACTTAATTTTTGAAATTTATGTAATAATGATTAAAAAATAAACTTAAAAATCGTGGAAATTTTTATTTGTATTAGTATTAATTTCTGTGGCTGGGTGGCGCAATTGGTTTGTCGTCGCCCTTCTGAGCCCAAGTCAGCGGGTTCGATCCCCGGCCCAGAAACCGGATTTTCGGAATGCAGAAAATCCTCAGCGGCCATGTCGTATGATTATGTGGCATGTAAAAGATCTCTGGAGTGCCTTATTGGCTCTTGGCATTTCCTGCAAAATTAAATTCCTAGTGCATTTTAGCATCCTAATAGAGTCTCGGTGCTGCCATCTAGTGGGGCAGAAACTAGAAGTCCACATTAACATGGCCAACGGTATCTCACCCATTGTGGTGGTCCTGAAAGAGTGGATACAACTTCTGGAGAACGGTGTCTGCTCATCGGGAAGGCTGATTGAGCAGCTCATAGGAAATAGAAAATTAAAAAAAAGTCTTAATTTTTTGAAGAACATCATCAGACTTAAAATTGTTTTACAGTGTGTCTTTTGAATGACAGAAACACGTCTCTCTAGAGATAGATTAATGTAATAACAGATAATAGTACAACCTTACAGTTAAATACAGAAAATATCTGATGAATTTAAAGAGAAAAAAAAATTCTAAAAAAAAAAATGCCTTTGAAGAGGTTTTAATTTTTTTTCTTGTTTTGGCATGTAAAACTAACATACTGAAATGCCAGTTTATTTATAGAGATTTAAATTTAAAAAAATATGTCTGAGCAATGCATCTCGAAAAAAAATTCGAAGAATTGAAAAATATCCATCTAACCTGTCCAATCTGCACCTAATTTTTCCATAAAATAAAATCTTATAAATAGCTCAAAAGTTATAAATATGCCCATTCCACATGCACACACCTATGATTAAAATGAAATGTAAATAAACTCACCAACTGAATGCATAACA